GATTCGCCTCTTCTAGTGTCTTTTCATATGATCTTTGTTTTAAATACTCATAGACTCAGGTGTTGATTGGTTGGGACATGGAGTCTTTTAGATGTATTCCTAGGGGTAGTATTGAGCAGAAACAATGAGAGAATTTATTTTCCTTAATGCAGGATCTCCAGTTGGAGTCTATACCAGATAGATTGGGGTTGGCTCCTTGACGTCTCTAAAAGTTTTTATGTTTCATCGACTTATGATTTTCTTGATAGTGTATTGCTTTTTTTTCCGGGTGGTATAGAGACTAGACGGAACAATTAGGGTTCTCATCAAGGCTTACATTTTTGTTTAGAGGTTATAGTCATATAATCTTTTCATAGGATGTAGTGAGATGTGCACCTCCTCAATCAGTTATCTATGTAGTCCCTAGTCTCTTGGTCTGATACTCTAGTCTTTAGTCTCTTGGTCTGATACTGTTCTCTGAGTCTTTGGCATGACTAGACCTCCTCGCAGTGCCTACAGCCTATCTGGACCGCTCTCTGTGCCTTCGGCCTAACTGGACCGACTCGCAAAGCCTACAGCCTATCCGGACCGCCCCGGGTATCTTGGCCTTCAGCACAAAGCAGGACCGCCTCAACCCCTCCTTAATATGTCGTCATATACAACATATAAACATAAACATATATTCAGAAAATACAGTTAATCATACATATATACTAATCTATCATATAACCATCATAACATCATCTTATATACCAGTATACATAACCTAGTGGGTCGAGATTGGTTCCTTCGACCCACAAGTACAGTGAGGAAAACTCACCTCTTAGTACGAACAAATAGCCGAATAGGTCTGTGCTTCGAATATCAGCTCACCCGTCACCTATTTATCAAATAGTGACTAATCTTAAATACAACTCAAAATACCCAAAATACCCTTAGGTCAAACATATTCAAATTCTGGTCAAAGTCAAAAAGTCAAACTTGGTCAAGAGAGCTGAGTACGCCCAGTATACTCAGCTGGTATGCACAACATACACGAGGCTTAACTAAAACGGGTTGGGTTGACCTCGTACGCCCAACGTACCTGGGTTACGCCCAACGCACGTGGGTTACGCCCAACGCACGTGGGTTACGCCCAGCGTACACAATGGGGTCATTTTATTCTTATTAAGAGCTTAATCCTTAATCTCTTTTGCCCATATTACAAATCTAGTCTTAAAATAACGTCCTTAAGCATAAAGTTTCCAACTTTATGGCCTTGCATGGCTATTAAGTTCCCAAACACAAAAACTCTAACTACTTAACCCATTAAGACAACCTAGATTATGCATGGAGGGAAACTAACAATCAAGACTACATTTTTATGCTTCCTAATAGCTTCATAATGTACAAATTTTCCAACTTTATCCATTAGAATGGTCCAAACGACGAAGATCTACTATTTTAAGTCTCAAAGGGACCAAAAGTGCATCCTTCTTACGTAATCTGTTAAGTCCAAGTTTCCAACCTTTCAATCTGAATGAAAATGATGTTTAGATGGATAAAGTTTCCAAGTTTATCCATAACAAGGTCCCAAACTTTCAAGATCTAAACTTTATGCACTAAAATTATCAAAAGCTCAAAAATCCAAAACTAGCTAGATCTAACAAATGCATCATCAAGATTCAAGCTTTATACCACTAGATGAAAGATCAAGGAGAACAAAGTCTAGATCTACAAGCTCCAATGCAACCAACACTTATCCAATGAGCTCCAAGATGCACCAAGAACACTCCAAATCACTCAAAGAATACCTACTTTTGCTCACAAAGCTTAAACTAGGGTTAGGGTTTCAAGAGAGAGTGTTAGAAAGGTGGAGGCTGAGAATGGAATGAGTTTGAGGAAGTTAAGGAGCTTAAATAGGGCTTAAACAACGAAAATAGGGTTTGGTTTCTGATCACGTACTCTCAACGTACTCTTGGTACGCCTAGCGTACCAGAGATGCCTAGTACGCCTAGCGTATTAGACTAAGCCCAAAACCTTCCTAACTTCAAACGGTCATAACTTCTTCGTTCCAACTCCGTTTTCGTCAATCTTTATATCCACGGAAATGTATTGAAGAGCCCCACAATATTATCTAGATATCTAGGACTAAAAACATCCTGAACAAAATCCATATTTCATGCAAGAAGTCACAAACATCACTTTTCCCGTTTTACCCATTTGACTCCAACACAAACCAAGGGCTTGGATCATATAACCAATATTATCAACATTCAATAGGGTCTAAACCCTATTCCCTTGAATCCCAAGGCCTTTACTTGATCAATTTATTGTCCACAATCCCGAAATAAGAAACTTCTCGAAACATGATGTTAGAGATTGCATTGTCAGCGTAGAAAAGATGTGAAATAATGTGGCCTTGGTTGGGAGTTGCCAAACCGTGAAAAATCCCAAGTGACTGAGCTTTAATCATAACAATGTGAAGAGCCTCCATGAAGATGATGAAGAGAAATGGAGAGAGAGAGTCGCCTCTCCTAACACCTTTTTGGACTTCGAATCCTTTGTTGCCACCTCGTGGTGATATCCCATCATGTCGTCGCCGCCAAGTTTCACAAAATTTAAGCATAAGGATTTATACTTGAAAATCGGATGTTACAGGTCATTTTGATTTATTGTTCATGTGATTAAATGATATCAAATATCATGGGAAAAATAATTTAATGTAACAAAAGTTTAAACAATAACCATACTTAAAATTAATTGATTAAAATTAATTGATGTTTCTATATGTTTATACATTAGTCACACCTAAAAAAATGAACATTATGCGACTATACCACAATTACAACCACAATTCGCAAATAATATTTGTGTCTAAATTATAAACAATAGTCGGACATAAGAATATTTGTATGATTTAAAAGTAGAAAATTCCCAATTTATTCGACGTAATGCTTGATTACATCAAAACTTTTGCCACGTTTTTCTTAAATTGATGTGACTAAAAACTCAATAAACAATCATTTATGTAACTAAATAATAGCTACGGCCACACTAACAATTAACTTGTGGTCGTTGTATGAGAAATAGTAACAATCAAAAAACAATTGCGTGTCTATAAAATGTTTATAACCACATTTAATGGACAAAATCATTGATTACAACAACCCTATCCATATTTTTCTTAAATCGATATGACTAAAACTCAATAAACAATATTTTTTGAGAATGAATGATAGCTACCACCGCACTACCAATAAATTCATGTGACGGTTGCATGAGCAATAATCACAATAAAAAACGCTTGTGTGTCTAGAAAACGTTTATAGCGACAATTAATAGACGGAATCCTTGATTATGATAAGAAATGTTGGTATCATTTAGTCACTGTTTTATGATACGGTCACACTTTTTCAATCACTACGGCCACTAAATTCTTATGTGGCCGTATGATACCAAAAAATACATGACTTTTCGTCGCACGTGAGTTGAAAAAATAACGTGTGGCTAACGACATATGGTCACACTTTTGTGGTGTGGCCATTGTCCTTTTTTGTACTAGTGAACAAGGAACTTGAAATCATCAAGAGGTCAAGTGAAAAATTCGATTTTGTCAAAAGGTTAGTAAACTAATCCCTTTCTTTAGTTTATATTGTTGGTTTTGAAAGTATGTTGTCATAATAATAAAACCTAGATCTTAGGGTGTATGTACACCTAGAGCTTATTATGAATGATTCCATTGCCTAATATTCGTGTATAGATGTCTAGTAAACTCATCAATAACTTCCATTGATACGTTAATATAACTATTGTAAAAAATGTACATGCCTTTAAATACGTTGCGTATGAGTTTGTATCCGGTGTACGGTGTATCTGTGTATAATGTTAGTATGTGATTTATAATTATCACTGCTTTTTCATTTGTAACAATGTATAAGATTTACAAAAGTTCACTAAAATGACCATTAATGAGTTTTTTGTTTATAGCAACGTACTTTCAACAAAAATTATTGCTTAAACACCCGTTGCTGGCTTGCTGCAACGCGGGGGCTTAAAGTCCTGGTTAGTGCACATTTATAGAAAACCGTAACACAAGTATTTACAGTTGTTGAGTCTGACAAAGAGAGTTTAATCCACTTTGAAGGAGATACCCTCTCTGTCTCCACTGTTACACCACGGATGGTTGACCCACTAATAAAATAGTTTTCTTTAAGACATTTAGGTAGTCATAAAAAACTTTTACAACATTTTCACTCTATTCGTGAGTGTGTTGAAAGAGGTGATGTAGTGGTAAGACATGTTGGCACAAATAAATGAACAAAGAGCTTATTTCTTGACAAAGTCAATGGGTAGAGTCAAGTTTGAAAACATGAGAAAGTTGCTTGGAGTCGAAGAGATAAAAAGTTTCTGAATGACAAAAGAGAATGTAGGTGTAATTCAATATATAAGGAAAGGTAGTACTTGAGTCCAATTAGTAAGTTTTTACTTGGTCAACAAGTTTAGTTATCTGTTTAATTTCGTATCCTATAAATAGCTATAACTTGCTTTGTTTTACTTGGTCAACAAGTTTAGGTATCTGTTTAATTTTCGGTTCCCTGTGTGTGTTTTTTTGTTTCCTTCCTGATCATAACAGAGGGTTGAAGAGAGACTAGACCCACAAAAATCCAGAGTTATGCTGACCATGAACCCTGACCATGGTGGGTTCAAAGGGGCTATCATACTGGACGTGGTACATGGAAATGATTTCAATAATTGCATGATAGATCACAAGACAAATGGTTTTGATACTTTCTTTGTAGTCATCCAATTAAATTCCCCGGAATAACACACTTCCGATAGAAGCGATGGTTAAAATTTAAATCACCTTCCCCACCACACTTCTCCAGATATATATAAAGCCATCGACTTATTCTGCCATCTTAACATGTCAAATTGATAAACCCCACATTCCGAATTACAATTATTTAACACTCTAATTGTGTATTACGTATTAATATATTCAACATTATAACCATGATAATCAAAGTTTATTAATTAATAGCGTACAAGAAACTATGAAGTTCTACGTATTCCATCACTTACACTAACTCAAGAATGCTACCTGGTATGACAAGGTGTCATTCACATAATCGAACATGCATTTGGATTTTCGTCACTGAAAAGAGTAGTTAGCCTCTCGGTGGGATTATTAGGACTAAGAAATGCTTGAGGAACGTCCCTAACATAGCCTGAAGGGGCTTTTTTGTCATAAGCTTGAGGAGCATAAGGGTAATAGACAAGATTATAGGGTACATATGGCCACATTTCAGCTTTCTTTCCGGTGTTCTGGACTTTCTTCAAGACTTTTTTTGGTTCCACATAACCTGTCACTGTTACCCTGCTTTGTTTTCGGTTTACATCCACCGTTTTCACGCCTACATGAAATGAAACAAATTAAACAGTGCATGGTCAATAATGATTAATCTGTCAAATCATAAGTTTGATAAGATTGGAACTCAAGCAAACTTATAAAATGAGTTGAAATATAATAATTTACTAATTATTTATAATATTATATTTTGCCAAACTTGGTAGCTAAGAATTAAATATTGAAGGATAATTACAGCACTTAATATAAGATCTATGGTTAAAGAGACTTCAACGTAATTCCCATACGACAAAATAAATAGATTGATGACGAATGGTGTTAAAGTTTATGGAAATTGTTATTTGGAGTTAATACATGAAATTTTATATTTTGACGAACACCGATACACTTTCATCCTACAACGTATCTGTGGAGAGAGAAACTTCACACCGTTATCGGAAATCACATCTTGAAGTTTAATAAGCCCATCGTTAAAAGATTAATTAGTACTGATTAATTCGGCCAAAGGATGACTTACATCTTAAAGTTTAATCAACTTCTCCATGCCAATTAATTTCAAGAAATTCGTTTCATCTACTTCACTTGTTTGCATGGTTATATTCACCATTTAATTAAATCTGCCAAAAGGTATGGATTATCATAGTTTGTTTGAATGGGTTTATTTCCTTAATTTTCATGCATAGATATGTCGTGAAAACATCGAGAGAGAGAGAGAGAGAGAGAGAGAGAGAGAGAGAGAGAGAGAGAGAGAGAGAGAGAGAGAGAGAGAGAGAGAGAGAGAGAGAGAGAGAGAGAGGACCTGATAACGAAGAAACAGCATTCTTTACTCTCCTTTCGCAGCCATCACAGTCCATCTTCACCTTAATATCAACCGTCTAAAACAACGAAAAAACCAGTTTAAGCAAATCTTGAAATACACACATTGATATAAAGAAACCATACACAAATAAAAGAAAGCAGGGGGAAGAGATACCTCAAAAGTTTTGCGTTTGCCTTTTCTTGTAATGGTCACAGCACAGAGGTCCGAGATATGATCCAAATAACCCATATCCAATCCAATTCTTCTATATTGATTAATCACCACACCTTAAGTTAAAAGCTTAGAGAACTGTGTACATGTGTTTCATGGAAGTAGAAGGGTTTAAGGTCTAGTATGAAGAAGGAAAGGACCCTTTGAATTGATATTTAAAGAAAAGAAAGGATGGAACAGTAAGGTATGGAGAGCAAGTAGTTGTCAACAAGCTGTGATAATTGAAATCTACCATATTTTATTATTAAATTTCGTACTTAGATTTCGTAGATCACAGGAAGTACATAACTTGATATTCAAGAAATCGATAATTGAATTCAAAGCTAGTACAAAGCTTAATCAAGACTACGATATTATTTTGTCATCGATCAACTGTTGTTACAAAATACAATATTTTTACTTCGAATTCAATTTTTATACATATTATTTAAAGAATGAAAAAAAAACAAAACAAATACTAAGGAACAGGAAATGATTAATCCAATGATGAGTGCCAATACGAAGACTAAAATCTATGTGTTGTGACCCACTCTTCTAAACCAATATCAATCATTGAGGCAAACGGACATTTTCTGTAATTCCGTGTTAACTTCTGTTTGTGGGCTGTTTTAAATTAATTTAATTTTCCAACACATAAAAAACCTGAACTCAATACTTATAAAGTTTTATGATGAAACTAATCAGTAAATCTATAACAATAGCAATCATGTGCTCTTTCTAGTAGTACGTATATATCTTCTATGTGCCTTTTGCTAGTCGTTTATTTCTCCATTTGTATCAAATATTTCCGCCGTTCATGAAAAAGAAATTATAATAGTTGTTATAATCAATTATTTTGTCTGTTTTATAGAAAAAAAAAACATCTAAACGAAGATAAAATGACTGAAAGTCTAGTTAATTAAACTAAGTGATGCCCATGTAATTAAATGTTAGTTGATGCCCATGTCAATGTTTTTTTTAGAAACAGTCACATTATATAAAAACTCTAGCAAGGAACTAGAGAAAACAAAAACAATTACATCAAGTTATAGGTTGTTGGAGCCAACTAGCTCAATTTTTGGAACAATTAACATTCCTATTAGAAAGAAAACCAAATAAAAGAAAACGCCTTTATCTCATCAACAATTTGATTCCTCCGAATCTTCTTTCCGTCAAAATCTTGATTGTTTCGAAAACGCCACATATACCAAAGAGTAGTGCAAACAATAGCATCAATGACACCTTTTTTGCAGAAAAGGAAGACATCAATAGCTTCAAACAACTCAATAATGGAATCAACATTTAGGGGTTAAAAATCAATCCATATAAAGATTGCATTTCACGTTCTTGCGGCCACTTCGCACCTGAAAAACAAATGACTAAGTTGCTCCACTTCTAAAGCACACACCGGACAAAGAAGCAAAGGAATATCGATTCCTCTCTTGTCTAACTTCTCCCTTGTAGGTAATCGACCCAGAATAGCCTGCCAAATGAAAATATTAACTTTTTTTGGGGACAAAATGGTTGCATCTCGTGTGAATATTTATGGAAGACAACTTGATTATCAAGCCACTTTCTAGTATCAACAACATAAAAAACTCCCGAATCCAATATTCCACCACCATTTATCTTCTTGATCAAACAAAATAACACGTTGGATTACCTGACGCATTTCTTGTAGCTGGGTATTCTCGGCTCCACTTCTAATATCTTTGCGCCAATGTCATCTCCAAGCATTATCATGCCACTTATCAGAAACACAACATTCTCGATTTGTTTCAAGATGAAGCAAACGAGAAAATTAAACCGATAATTTTTGGTCACCAGTCCACATCCGAGTCCAAAACTTTGTAGAACGCCCATTACCAATCTTCCTTTGTAACACTGAAGTGTCTATAACTTTTTTATCTACCAACTAATGTGTAGATAGAATAATACGAGACCAAGGTCCAACCCCACCAACCTTGTTATGTCCCATCTCAAAACCTCCTTGCTCACCATGCAACGCCTTTATCAATTTCACCCAAATCATTGTAGGATTAGTCAGAAAATACCATCTCCATTTTTGTAACAACGCACCATTTAAAGATGAAAGACTTCCAATTTCTAATCCTCATTTGCATTTATCAGCCAAAACTAGATCCCATTTCACCCACGACATTTTTTTAACATCATCATCACCTCCCTAAAAAAATCTTGATCTAATCACTTCAAAATCCTTAGCAACCGTAACAGGGAGAAGGAAAATAGACATATAATAAGTCCCAACAGCACCCAAAACCAATTTAAGCAGCATAGCATGACCACCAATCGATAGAGTCGAGACTTTCCATTTAGAAAGTTTATTCTTCTAGTTTAACTTCACCAGGTTCCAACCAACAACTTTAGACATGTTTTGACCAACCGGTAACCCAAGATACAAGAACAACACCTTATTAGGTTTACATCCAACCAAATTAGCAAATCCAGAAACCTCCTCCCAATTGACACCAATGCCAAAAAGACTAGATTTTTGTAAATTAATTTTCAACCCCGACACTAGATAGAAACAGTTAAGGATATAGATCGTATTAATCAAATTCTGTCTCTCCCATTCTCCAAGAATAATCAAATCGTATGCATAATAAAGATGAGATATCATCAAGCCCTCTCTACCAATATTAACCCCAGAAAACAACCCTACATGCATAGCATCTTCAATAGCTAAATGAAGACCTTCCATGACAAGAATGAAGAGAAATGGAGATAATGGGTCTCCCTGTCTCAACCCTCTTTGTAATTGAAATTCACCTATAGGACTCCCATTAACTAACACCGATACTCGAGCAGAAACCAGACATCCCTGATTCCATGATCTCCATTTTGTTCCAAAATTCATAACTTGCATCACCCGATCCAAATATTCCCATCTCACTAAATCATACGCCTTTACAAAATCAATTTTCAGAATCATCATCTTTTTTTTCTTCTTTTTAAACAACTCAATCACTTCATTTATGATTGACGACCCATCAAGTATTTGTCCATCTTTAATAAACGCAAATTGCTCACTACTGACAACATAATCAATGACTTTAGCTATGCAAAACACTAAGCTTTTAGCCAAAATTTTATACTGAACCCCTATAAGGCTAATAGGCCTAAAGTCATTGACCACTACGGGACTATTGAGTTTTGGGATTAAAGTTATAAATGAAGGGTTGCAGCCCAAAGGTAGTCTAGAAGTCTCAAAAAACCTCCTACAAACTCGAGAATGTCATGCTTCAACAAATCCCAATACTGTTTGATAAAACCCATCTGGACCTGGCACTTTATCACTTCCACAAGCCCACACTGCTATTTTAACTTCTTCCTCAAAAATCAAACCTTTAAGAAGATTAGATTGCTCATTAGACACCTTAAACAACTAGATGTCTTCATTTCTATTTAAAACTCCATGAAAGTATTTTGAGTTCCCATCGCCTTCTATACTCCATTTGATCTTTGCTTTCTAGGTCGCATCTTTATTCTCAATGTTTTCTAATTTCAATAATTGAGCACAAATATCACCATTTTCCTTTATAAATACATCCGAATATAAACCAACATCTACTTGTTTGTCAATTTCTTTCAATATGTTTAACCACTGATCTTTAGCTGCATGCCTATTGGTTTTTTCGATTCTCCACCATGGTCGAAGGGTCAGTTTAAGATTCTTTAATTTGTCTTTGAAACGAATGCACGCACAATTTTAGTTATCATTCGAGACCATACTCCAAGTGTTTTTCACAATAAGATCAAATTTTGATTCAAACATCCAAGAGTTAAAATTTTTGAAAGGCCTAGACCCAAAATCAACCACATCATGCGACATAAATATCGGCCGATGATCAACAATATTTAGCTCTCATGCCTTTGCATAAAAGCTAAGTAAACTTCATGAAAAATTCATCTGTAACCAAAAACCTATCTAACTTTTTTTTGCCCTTGTGAACGAAAACACACCCATAGGAACTTCAATAAAATCAGACACCAATGTTGGTGTTTGGATTCATTCATACTAAAAAATATGGAGATGAAATAATCAGGCGTCAAACTATCAAAGGTTAGTTCAAATGACTTGGCTAATGACATCAGAAAGTTCGGGAGGGGGGGGGGGGTGATTTTCCTCGATGATGTGTGCGTACTAAAAACTATCTATCCTCAAGGAAATCAATCCATGTTCATGTCACCAAACTCTTTGTGCAATATGTATATATAGGGGGATGCCGTGAGTGCAACACTATAAGGGGTAAACGCGTCAGACGGCCTTCGAGCGAGCTCTTGGGTATTGGTTGCTTAGTTCCGGTTGGTTTACATAATATCCTTGTCAATATTTGTTTAACATGCAATTGCACTAACGGTACCCCCCATATATACATATTGCACAAAGAGCTTGGTGACAGGAACATAGATTGATTTCTCTGAGGATGCATAAATTTTAGTACACACATGATATCAGGGAAAATCAAGGCAAATGTCTAGTTTTTAGGTCGTCTTTCGAGAAATCATGGCAATGTGTTCGAGATTTCAAGGAAAGGGGGATAGTTTTCAAGTCATTGTTCACGAAATCAAGGCAATGGGGCTAGTTTTAAGGTCATCGTTCAAGAAATCAAGGCAATGGGATTGTGTGACAATATCAACACTATCAAAACGAGAGTGTTTTCAAATTTCAATAACAAGACTAGACGTTCAAAATACTTGGCCCCAACTTTTCCCTCTTACGAAACCGAATCACCCATTTCCAAGGTGATACCTTCAATAAAACATTATCTCTTACCTGAAATTCCAAATCCGATCACCTCTTGTCGACGTAGCTCTTCTGCCGACTTTGTGCAGTAACCAACAACACTCGCACCATTTGAATCAACTTGATCATTTTAAGCGTAATATATGTGCTCCTTAGTACTCGCTTACCAATTTCTCCCAAACAACTGGGCATTCCATACACCCTACCATACAACAGTTCAAATGGTTGCATGCCAATGCTAGAGTGGAAACTTTTATTGTAGGAAAACTCTGCTTGTGGAAGATACTGATCCCACTACACCCAAGGTCAATGGCATAAGCTCAAAGCATATCCTCGAGCGTCAGAACCATACACTCCCTCTGGTCATCTATCTGCGATTGGAATGTTGTGTCGCACCAACTGTGTACCCACATCCTCTTAAAACCTTTCTCATAAATGAGATATGAACCGAGTGTCCCTATCTGAGACAAAGGAAATTGGCACCCTGTGCATGGCGACGATCCCTTCGTGTAAATGTTTATAAGCTTCCTCAACTATGAGCTCTCCAAAATGGTTAAGAAATAGACACTTTGGGTCCATCCGTCGATGATGACTTCTAATGCATTAACTCCTTGCGGAGTCTTTGGATGTCTAGTGATCAATTCTATCGTGACACGTTCCCATTTTCATACAAGAATCTCCAAATGCTACAATTTACCGTGCGGTGTCTGGTGGTCAACCTTGACTTTTTGACATATATTTTATTCTTACACATACTTGGCGACATCTAGCTTCGTGCATAGCTACCAACAATCTTCACACAAGTCTCGATACACCTTACTCGTTCCAGGATGTATGGAAAATTTAGACTTGTGAACCTCGACCAGCAATGTGTACCTGGTACCTCCCATGAAGGAACCTAATAATCATAATCTCGCCTGAAACTCTCGCATTTGGCGTTCTCATCCAGAAACATCACTCCTTGTACCTTTCCAACTACTCCAACAGAGGAGTAAACGTTGTCATTCATAGACATAACTTCTGAAGTGGCTTACCAGCTAGCTTCTGGCTAAAAGCATTAGCAAATACATTTGCGTTATCATAATTGTAAAGTGCCTCACGATCAAAATCATTAAATCATGTCTAACAAAGAAATCCAACTCCCTACAAAACTCTCATAAATCTAAAGTTTATGATTTGAAACTTCTAATGCCAACCCTCTATGGCTAACAACCATTCCCCCTCCTTTGGGTATAAAACCAACTACTCGCTTGACAAGGAACATTACTACTCTAAAGTAAAGTAGTATATTGATCAATACATTTTCAACATCTCTATAGAGACAATATTTGTGATACATGTCCAAACAGATGTTATCACTCAAGATGTCCTTCCGACAAAAAAAACGCTCTCAATTACATAAGTGAGGCATACCCCATCCACTAGCTAGCGATCTTCCATCAATACGTCCAACCGAATTCTTAACCTATTCGACATTGCACCCAGTCTAAACACACATTTAGTATGTACCAATTATAATCCTATAACTAACCATTGTAGGTCTATAGGCATGTAACCATCTTCCCACAGACCTGTAGGTTTCCGATTACCTTTCCTTTATCTCACCACAACTTGTTGGTCTTGCCATCATCCCAATTGAGCCTATCTAGCTCACAATCAACACCTCAATGGGCCTATAGGTATAAAACCATCATCCTGCTAACCTGAAGGATCTCAACCATCATTTTTTATCCTATAATAGTGGTACCCAAGAACAAAATGAAATATCGAAACCTAGGGACCTAGATCTATCCGATCTTCGGGCCATGCCTCGAATATTCAAGCCTTTATCAGACAAGAACATGCAAGGGGACCCTTACCACGATACTAAACCAGAGCCTATCCAAATACCTAATATATGAATCAGTAAAAATGACTCAAAACGCCTAACAAACATTAATCTCAAAACGAGAGGTGCCCTTAATAGTAAATCAAACCTACAACATCGTTGAACGTCGAACATACTACATAGATACAACATTTCTGAACCTTCCTTCCTTCTGATGGTTGTCTGCTTTTTCTCATCCCTGTGCATGTCACCTGAAAAGACTAGAAA